TATATTTAAAGCTATATGAGACAGCCAAAAAATGTGCAACTCCTGATAGAGATTATATAATATCAATTTCATCCGAAATTTTCTACATCTAAAATGTAGGATTCCAACATTTTGAAATTTTCTTTCACAAAGAGTTGAACTAATGACCACTGGTCTGTGTAACTTTATAGAGGACTTCTTAAAGACACCTTAAAAAATTAGTACATTTTGTTATAATCCACTAACTCTTAATCCCTAATTACTATAAGACAGCAGAAGTTAATTTGGTCTAGTGTTTACTCTTTATGGTTTCAAAACAATTTCCTAGTCACTCTTGATTTAAAAACAATGAAAATTAAAGCAAAAAGTATAAATATTTTTAAATGAAAGGTGTAATATCTAATGTAACTTGCCAGGAACTTTTCAATGTCAGAGCTCTTGTACACTCTCCATTGAAAGATAATTATTTATCAAAACATTGCAATTCTTAGATACCCTGAAGTCTTCCAAGAAAGGTCTTCATTATACCATGCAAGTTTTTCGCCATACAACTAAGGACAGAATTTAATTCATCTTAAGAATTGTTTGTAATTTATAGATTTCTCATGAAAAACGTACCTAATGGAGTATCAGAGAATACCACTTCAGTTAATGTCAGAGGCCTCCTTGTTCTTGTAAGCTGTCAGCTCTTTCGTTCATTGCTGAAGACCTTCCAGTAATGACATAGATGATAAACAGAAAAAAAATGGATTGTGTTTCATGTACATGTTCCCAATAGCTATACTTTTCCAAATCTTGTCTTTTTCTAACTTTGGAGTGTTTTAAACACCAGAAGGTTGAAATAGCAAGATTATGAGTGAGTTGAGAAACTAATACAAGTCAATACATACTACTTCTCCACCCATGGAACATGTTTACTTTTTTCTCTTGTTGGTTCTTTTGAAGTTGGTTTGTCTTTTGTCTTGGTTAAACCAGATTTTCCAGTTAAGAATGCTTGCATTATAGAATTCTAAAAAAAAACCATACATATTGCTTATACCTTAGTGTCAGGATTATTACATGTACATGTTCATACTACTTAAACACAATTTTTATTTAAATGTCAAACAATGCACATTTTCTGTCCTGACCAACAACTATGAATTCAATAAATATATATGATGTGCTATTTAATAGTCTAAAAATTCATAAGGGTTCTGCGGAACCCAGTGTCTCGCCTACTTTTGCTGTTAGTCGCAGGCTCAACAAAAATGGGGAAAAAAATATTAAAAATTTTTCCTCTAGATACTACCTTTTGATTGTTAGAAGTTCTGTTCAAGTTTGGTAAAAATCCAAGAAGGTTTATGAATCTAATAAATGTTTTAAAAACTTTAACTGCAGACTGTACGTAATGTTAACTGGAATAAAACTAAGTCCATCTATATGTAATATACAGAAAATAGGAAATAAATTTTTACAAAATTTCCTTCTGGATACTATCTTATGATTATAAACAATCTTCGGTCCAAGTTTGGTACAAATCTAGGATAGTTTAAGAAAGTTATTAAAATTTCAAAAACTTTAACCACAGAGTGAATGTAATGTTAACTGGCAGAAAAAACTAAGTCCATTTATGAGTAAAATACGGAAAAACAGGATTTTTTTTTACAAAATTTTCTTCTGGATACTATCTTATGATCATAAACAAGCTTCTGTCCAAGTTTGGTACAAATCTAGGATAGTTTAAGAAAGTTATTAAAATTTCAAAAACTTTAACCACAGGGTGAATATTTGTGGACGCCGCCGACGGAATGTAGGATCGCTATGTCTCGCTTTTGCGACAAAAGTCGCAGGCTCGACAAAAAGGAGTAATAACAAGTAAAATATTATTTTTTTAAAACTTTTATAGGAGTATATCATACATTGAAGTTTCTATCCAGTGGGTGAACTGATGTTTTACATCTTTTTTTTTTCTTAACATCTGCTATTGAGTCATTAATGATTAGATATTAACAGAAATAGGATTTTCAAGAGATTGCGAAGTACATTTTTTATTGCATTTATAATTTCAAATTTTTCAGAAAGATACATTGAAAATGAACTTTTTAAACCATAATTTAAAGAAGTAATTTTTATTAAAATGAGGGCATTGTAAAAAAAATATATTTTTTTGTATTCAAATATCTTATATTGCTAAAAACAATATAAAGTGAATAAACACATTAATGTTAATGCAGCTTGCTGAGGTTAAAAGATTTAAAATATTTTCTTTTTTTACTCAAGTATCACTCATAATTATAACCTAAGTAAGTTTTTAATTACAGATGATCATTGCATTGATTTTACAAGTGAAATATCCACTTCAATACTTTTATTTATACAGATTTTATTTTATAAAAAAAAATTATTGAACACAAGTATTTTTTAATCTTTAATTAACTTGCACATGTAACATTCAGGTAAATGACAACATTTTGCCCACAGACCCAAAGACTGAAATATCATCTTGATAAAAGTTAATGGCCTTGAAAAGTAGGATTTTTGTAAATATAGAGGTAAATATATTCAAACTTTACTTAATATGCTCATTTGAATTGTTTAACATTTTTCATTTCGGGCACCTTGTATAGCTTACTATGCGGTATGGGTTTTGCTCATTGTTGAAGGCCATATGGTGCTCTATAGTTGTTAACTTCTATGTCTTTTTGTCTCTGGTGGAGAGTTGACTCATTGGCAATTATACCATATCTTCTTATCTTTATATCGAAGTAAATTATTAAAAATTAATTGCTGGTTTTTCGAGCAATCATTAGGCCAAAAATTTTATTTTTTAAAAATTGGTGTGTATCTGTAACAGTGGTTTAATTCCGCCAGTGTACTTTATCCGGAGGGAGAAAATCCCCAGTGATTTTTATCCACCAACAAATATTCACTAGGTTTTTCTATCCGGGTCCATTGTAAAACATCCACCAGTCATTTTAAGGTTCTAAAAAGGGTTTTTTGAAGGGGAAATATATATAAAATGTGGCTCAATAGTTTTTAGTGTATTTGAAAATTGCCTAGTTGATTTATGTGAAAAGTGGAAGAGTTTTCATCCAAGGAATGTTCACACTAGTGTTTTTCTAACCAGGAATGATTACACTAGTGATTTTGTACCGGAATGATTACACTAGTTATTTTATACCGGGATTAATTACACTAGTGCTTTAGATCCATACATTGATGAAGTGATTAGTACTCATTTTGAACACAGGATAACACAATAATGCTTATTAACGAATATTAGATTTAATTAATTTTTCTATGCAAATTTATAAAATCATATGCTTTCAAATTGTCACTAATTGTAATATTTATATGTATTGGATTGCCAAAGTTTTTCTGTGTATTTGCTATTCGGTCGACTTGGATATAAAATCATATCTTCTATGTCAATATCAAAGGATGCTTCTATAATTGAAACTTTATGCAAGAACAAATCTGCTCTTTAAATTTGGTTAATATCAAGTTCAATGTCTTGATCATTAATAAAGTATTTTGAGTTATAAAAATATCGTCCTCATCATCATCAATATTATTTAGATCTACTAGATTGACTCAGATTAATTAAACTGGTTCCTTGAAAATCATTGTAAACAATAAACCGGTCTAATATAAACAAAACAACGATATCAAGATCGACGCTTTCACACTATTTACATCCAATATTCTCTAGTGAAAAACAGTTACCCGGAATAAATACACGGCGGAATGAAAGTACGCTTACATATCCGGTTGCATACCCCAAATAAATAGGATCAGCAGGTTTTGATTTTTTTTTCCGTCGATCTCATCATGAAGTTCTTAGAACTTTGTTTAAATGTTTTTGATTGCGGAACTGTTATGAGGGGCCTGATGGGGGGTCTCATCGAGATTCACGAGTTGATTTTTTTGTCAATCACGATTCACAGAAAATAAATTTCCAAGATCACGGATCACGAAAATATAAAAAAAAAAAAAATCTGTAGAAAAACGGATCACGATAGCGTAAATGCGCCGATCACGAAGAACGAAAACAACCCGTCAGGCCCCTCTGTTATGAACATTTGTATATACGGCTTAGACAGTTGCATGTTATCCACCCAAATTGGAGAACACTAGTTATCATTTACAGTAACTAGATTGCTTAAACAAATACATGTAGTTCTTATTAGACCCAGACGATTTATTGGACACGCTTAAGGAAAAGCTTTTTTCAGATCAATATGTGCCACTTGAACTATTGACGTCATACAACAATCACTTTTCCATTATAGCATAGCGTCAAGATAAAATAAAAATGCAGGAATTGATGAGTCAATGTGAAAAATGTCCAAATATGAGAAAATAAAGGGTGGCAGGTAGGTGAAACTTGCATAAATGAAGAGATAATGAAAAATGAAAAAAACTGAGGCCCAATTTATATGGATCCAAGGCCGTCAGTCGGCTCCAGAAGCAACGAAGCGGCGCATCCATTTTGGATGGGCAAATATCCACTTTTTGATATGGGACGAGCTCTGACGTCCCACGGCCCCAGCTTGTCTGGCAAAACAGCCGTTGGACGTCAGAGTAATCTCGGACTACGTGAAAGGGGCCGAACGTGAATGGGAGCGAACGTGAAACTGACACTTGAAAGGGGCGAACGGACCCGGATTCCGGAGTGTAAAGCAGAGGTGTATGAATGAAATGCTTCTTCTTTGGTTTTTTTTAAAGTGGAACAGGGTTGTTTACTTTGAAAATTGTTATGTTGACGTAAATGAAAGAGTTGATTCGATTCTCAACTGTCTCCACAATGAAAGTTTAGTTCCCGCCAATCTTTGGAGTGAGTACAAGAAAGATTTAACAAGAAAACTTATGATCCTGAAAATTTTGTTGATGATTATTGTTCAAAACACTAATTTTATTTTTCATCATATCAGATATTTTTAATATTTTCTCCTAAAAAATCTGCAATGAAAGAAAGATTTGGTGTAAAAATTTTCGTGCAATTTAGCTTTTATTCACAACATTCAATTTTTGTACCTTCACGTTGAAGATTTATATGTTCAGCTGTGATGTCTATGCCCCCAGAGTTTGAGAAGGCTCATACTCCAAGAGATGTAGATCTTAATGCTGCAGGCAGGGGTGTATGGTTGGTAAAGGTAAAGTCGCTTTCCACAACAAACATTAGTGACACACAACAGAACCAGCATTGTCCCTTCTGAGAAAGTATTTTAAGATTAATTGCTTGTTTATAATTTTGTACTGCTGAAAACCTGTAGACTTCAGTGCAAATCAAATAATATATTATACAACAAGACAACAAAATAAATTACAAATATGGACAAAAGGACTCAGGCAGAACAGGTTTTAGAGCAAACATAGTCCAAATAAATATGACGTCTTGCTGTCACGAAAATTATTTATAGAAGTTCCTTCATAATATTATTTCCAAATGGAAAAAAAATATTCTGGAATATTATTTCCACTGGAATTAATATTACAGTATATGTCCCTAACGGAATAAATGGTATAGAATATTTGTTCCAACAGGAACAGATATTATGACATTGTTTATAACAAAGTTTCCAGTGGAACTTCTGTTAGGCGGAACAAATATACGTTGACATTGCAAGGCTATTTTAATTTTTTTTCTGTGATGCCTTCCTACGATGTCATAAAGCTGAAGCCATTTTTTACGTCTGGACTTTGAGAGAGAATTTTGGGGGGAACTTTGAGACCCAATTTTGGCATGAAATCTTCATTGCCGGCTAGAAATTTTTGCATAGTTACAAAGTCTTACCTTTTTTGTGACGTCGTAGGAAGGCGTCGCAGAAAAAAAATTAAAATAGCCTTGCAAGACGTCATAATTATTTGGACTAGAGCAAATGTAGCCAGGACAACAGGTATTAGGGTGAACAGTAAATTACTGTATGCCCATTATTCTTTTTGGGATTATGTGTCAAGATTTACTGATTAGGCCGCCCTCAAATAGATAACAATAAAGATTCATTCAACTTGATGTGAAATCAGAGATGTGTTGTCCATTAAACGTCTTAATGAAATATACATTGTACAACCACCAGTACCTGACACCATTCTTGAATTTATATTAATTTTTTAAATGAACAGATGTGCAATTAAAAGTCATCATAATTTCTTATTACTTTCTAAATAAACATTTTCCAATACCAGCTGAGGCCAAACACTACTCAGCATGATTTGAAGCAGTACCTCTGTTTTAGTGAAGCCAGTCGAAATGGGACAGTATTGCAAGTCAAGTGTCATCCAAATATGAGTAAAACACAAATAGTACACAGTCGGACATAAACTTCTTAAATATTTGATTTATTTCCATTATGCAAGATGACAAATTTATACATATTCATTTTTTTTGCTGCAAATGTAAAACAGACTTTGGCAGAGTAAGATCAACAAACATTTCAATGTGACATATTCTATTTAACATTCTTATTTGTTTACTTCTATACCTACATTGTACTATCACCTTCTATTTATACTCATTGTAACATTGTGTTGTAATTTATCACTTCAGGATTTTGTACTTCAGCTCAATATTTTGTATTGTTTAAAATTATCCTGATGACAGTGCTCTGGGCACCAAAACATATCAATTTACATAATTTACTGCAGAAATCCCTAAAGTGTTGTTGTTACACTTTTCACATTTTATATGTTTATAGTAACAACCCTGCATACCAGAGACATTCACATTAGGAATTCTATCGTATTGAAGATTTACCAGGTGTTGTTTCTTTGTTGTTTGTAATAATTGTATTTGTTCAACTGTTTAAAAGTAGGGGCAATTTAGAGCTTGGTATATTTTAAAGACACTCTTCTATTTTGATGAATATTCTGTACATGTATGTTGACCGTTGAGTCATTTTGCCACCATATACATGTATGTGTGCCCAGATACATGTATGAATAAAAGGAGATGTGTTGTACAATGTATATGTCAAACAAACAGCAACCAAATGACTAAAAAAACCTCTGAAGGAAGGCAGTTTATCTTGTCAATATTAAATTTGAAACTGCTAGTTGAACAAATATGAAATACTGAATGTATTTGGGAAGATAAAATTGAGAATGGAAATGGGGAATGTGTCAAAGAGACAACAACCCGACTATAGAGCATACAACAGCCGAAGGGGTCTTCAATGCAGCGAGAAACTCCCGCACCCGGAGGCGTCCTTCAGCTGGCCCCTAAACAAATATGTATACTAGTTCAGTGATAATGGACGTCATACTAAACTCCAAATTATACACAAGAAACTAAAATTAAAAATGATACAAGACTATCTGTTTTTTGAGATCTCAACCCTCCCCCTATACCTCTAGCCAATGTAGAAAAACAAACGTACAACAGTACGCACAGTAAAACTCAGTTTAAGAGAAGTCCGAGTCCGATGTCAGAATAGGAAACAAAAGAAAATAAACAAAATGACAATAATACATAATTAACAACAGACTACTAGCAGTTACTGACATGCCAGCTCCAGACCTCAATTAAACTGATTGAAAGATTATGTCTTCATCATATGAATATCAGGCACAATCCCTCCTGTTAGGGGTTTAGTATTATACCGTCATAAAATATATGAGAAGAACATAACCCGTGTCATGCCAACCACTGGTTTTAGAATAAATATGTTTAATTCTGATGCAAAGACCCTATAAGTGAATCAATATTAAAGCCAAAATATGCAATCTTTAATGACCTGACAACAGTATCATAACTATATCCCTTCTTAATAAGTCTGTTTAAAGGTTTTGTTAGCTTTTGAGGTGAATACTGACATTTTTGTGCCTTGTAAAGAATATTACCATAAAAGATTGGATGTGAAATACCCGAACGTATAAGATGTCTGCATGTTGAGTTATATTTACGAATGATGTCCTTATACCGATGATAAAATTTAGTAAATGTTTTGACTAGTTTATGATATCGAAAACCCTGGTGTAATAATTTTTCAGTAATATATAAATTTCTCTCGCTAAAATCTAATACGTTGTTACATACACGAGCGAATCGTACAAGTTGAGATATATAAACACCATTAGATGGTGACAAGGGAACGTCACCATCTAAAAATGGATAATTAACGATAGGAAATGAAAAATCATCTCTTTTATCATAAATTTTTGTATTAAGCTTCCCGTTAAAGATATAGATATCAAGATCAAGGAAAGGATAGTGGTCATTGTTAGTATTAGCTTTATTTAAAGTAAGTTCAACAGGATAAATTTCTGTTTGTTGGAAGTCTTGATTATGATCATGATAATTGGACCTTACATGTACATATTATACATTTATAGGGATTGTAGCTACAATTTTGAACAAAATTATTACCAAGTTTTAAAGCTACTAAGATCAAAGATATATACTTAAATTTCACAATAAGAACCCTGGTATGTTTACATAAACTATATAGAAGTGTTAATAATTAGGGCCCCGCCGAATGGCGGACACCCTATAGTGATTAGCCTGTCCGTCCGTCTGTCCGTCCGTAACAAATTGTGTCCGCTCTATATCTAGAGAACCATTATGATTTCAAAGTTTATACTTGACATGTATATTAACCAAAACCAGAGGGTGTGTCATAATGTATGTACAACTTCCTAGGTCAAAGGTCAAGGTCAAAAACTTTGGTTTTAGTTGACAACCCCATGTCCTATGGTAAAGATCGTGTCCGCTCTATATCTTGAGAACCGTTATGATTTCAAAGTTTATACTTGACATGTATATAAATCAACACCAGAGGGTGTGTCGTAATGTATGTACAACTTCCTAGGTCAAAGGTCAAGGTCAAAAACTTTGGTTTTAGTTGACAACCCCATGTCCTATGGTAAAGATCGTGTCCGCTCTATATCTTGAGAACCGTTATGATTTCAAATTTTATACTTGACATGTATATAAATCAACACCAGAGGGTGTGTCGTAATGTATGTACAACTTCCTAGGTCAAAGGTCAAGGTCAAAAACTTTGGTTTTAGTTGACAACCCCATGTCCTATGGTAAAGATCGTGTCCGCTCTATATCTTGAGAACCGTTATGATTTCAAAGTTTATACTTGACATGTATATAAACCAACACCAGAGGGTGTGTCATAATTTATGTACAACTTCCTAGGTCAAAGGTCAAGGTCATAAACTTCGGTTTTAGTTGACAACCCCATGTCCAATGATAAAGATACAAATTTTTTACCACACACTATTCACAGCGGGGCCCACAGAGATGGCTCCCATCTCAATGATATTTAGTTCATAATATCGTGTTCTGTTTATTTCCCGAACACAGCGAGTGAAATAACCAATAAATATATATAGATATGAACATTCATAAGCTTTTTGTTTTCATAAATATCATGAATATTTTATTATTGTTTCTTTAAATTAAATGTACATATCTGCAAGCCATTATGTTGGAATAAAATTATATAGCAAAAGCCTGTATTTTATTCGAAAATTGTTCAGAAATAATGCCAATATTATACTTTTGTTCTTAAAATTGTATCACAAACAATGCCAATGATATACAAGTTTTTATACGACCGTGGTAGTATTATGTTATAAGTTCATGGATCTCTATGAAATTTTAGTACAAGGTTCCATACCACTAAAGGATGGATGGGATTTTTTTTGGGGGCTATTGTCCTTGCAGTTTTGTAATTAAGGGCCAAAAAAGACCATTTCCATTCTCAATTTTATTCAGTTTTACTGGTTCATGGAAAATAAATTGGTTCGCAGCGGAGTCGGAAATTATAGCCCGCCCGACCGCCCGAGACAGCCTATTTTACGATCGGGCGGTTAAAAATTTAATTTCAACAGTCCGGTGGACGGTCTATTTTTTGCAGGTGGTTGGGATTACCTTTTTCTATTTTTGGAATGAGTTCTCAGTATTACCCCATTCATAACAGCACGTAAGAATCATGACTGCCAATTAACCTTTTACTACCACGTGTTTCCACGCGATTTCTGCAGGGAACATGGTGATACCTGTTGTTTGTAATATCCGCACTCATTGGCTAGTTGGTATCGAATCGTCCAATCGCGATCGCGTTTATTAAATAAAAAATAAATATTAGAGGAAATCGAAAGTACAAATTTGTTTTGGTAAACTCATGTCTTTACGAAAAAGCGAACTGCTGTTGACTCAACAGGAAAAAATAAATTGTACGATCAGTCTAAGAGGAAGCGGACAATTGTTCCTGGTTGGAAAACGGAGTTCGAGTGGTTGAGTTTCAAATATTGTGAAAATGAGGAGCAATAAAATTATAAATGAAACCAAAATTTTATTTTTATTTGCTTAAAAGTAATTTCGTGGAACAAAGGTACAAACAAAGGCATGCTGAATTACACTGAAGACAAACTAACACCCCCAGTGCCCACCCCAAATTCTAAAAATTAAATCACACCTTGCTTCTGAACAAATGGTCATTAGGCTTAGCAGTGTCTGCTTAAATGTGCACTTGTAAGTCTTGTTGCAGTGTGTATTTACAAAAGCAGTCATAAGTCATTTTCATCACAAAAAATCCTCAAGTTTATCTAATAATACTTCTAGTCATTAAAAATCTTAAAACACAAAAACATAATTTAGAATCTTGAAGGAAAATGGGTTTGATTTTTATTGCATTAATTTTCAGGGCTGGTAAATTTTGATCAGGACAGGTAATTTTTTTATGCAGCCAGCCCTGTGGTCTGGTAGACATTTCCAGTGAGTTTCCTACCCTGGTTCGCAGACAATAACTTTAGCGTTAGTGTATGGATGTGTAAGAAATTTTAGTACAAGGTTCCATTCCACAATAGGAGGGTTGGGATTGATTTTGGGGGTTATTGTCTTAGCTGTTTTGTAATTAGAGACCAGAAAGGGGCGAAAAACAATTATATGCCCAGTTTTAAGACAATAACTTGAGTATAAGAGATATTTATTTGGTCAATATTTTAGCACAAGGTTCCACACCACAATAGGAAGGTTGGGAATATTTTTGGGGGTTATTGTCATAGCTGTTAAGGAATTAGCGGCCAAAAAGGGTTTATCAAAAACAATTTTTTGTCAGGTTCACAGACAATAACTTAGAGTATAAGTGTATGGATCTCTTTTAAATTTTAGCACAAGGTTCCATACCACAATAGGAAGGTTGGGATTTATTTTGGGGTTGATTGTAGTAGCTGTTTAGGAATTAGGGGCCAAAAAGGGCCTAACAATTACAATTATTTGTCTAGCTCACAGACAACAACTTGAGTATAACTGTGTAGATCTGTATTGAATTTAAGCACAAGGTTCCATTCCATAATATATTTATATAGGAAGGTTGGGATTTATTTTGGGGGTTATTGTTGTAGCTGTCTAGTAATTAAGGAACAAAAAGGGGTAAACAAGAAGCATTTTTCATGTTTCAGGACACTAATTTGTGTATTAGAGTTTGGATTTCTATGAAATTTTACTACAAGGTTCCATACTTTAAAAGGAAAGTTGGGATGGATTGTAGGGGTCATGTTCCAAACCGTTCAATAATAAGGGGCTTTAAAGGGGCCAAAAAATTAGGATTTTCTGATTTCTAGACATTAACTTGAGTATAAGTCTATATATTGCTATTTAATTGTGCCACAAGGTGTTATACCATAAAATAAAGTTTGGGATTGATATTAGGGGTTATGATGCTATTGGTTTAGTTAAAAGGGGCCAAAACCAATACTTTATATAAATTGCTTATTTTTTTACCAATTTTAATGGGGTTTAATTCAAAAGTTTTGAATTCTCAGGAGTCTTTAATATGCTGAATCTAATTGGGTATTTAATATTTGAATTTTAGGGTCTGTTTATGAAATGATTCATATTAAGGTCCAAAGGGTCCAAAATTAAACTTTGTTTGATTTCTTTACAAATTAAATTATTGGTGTTCCTTGATATGCTGAATCTAATTGTGTATTTAGATTTTTTTTAATTTTGAGGCCTGTCTGCAAATAGGTCCACATTAAGGTCATAAGGGTCCAAAATACAACTTTTTTTATTTAGTTTAAAATATTGAAATATCGGGGTTCTATGATATGCTGAATATGTATTTAGATTTTTGATTTTGGGCACAGTATTCAAGATGGTCCAAATTGGGGTCCAAATTGAATATTGTTTGATTTCATCAAAATTTAAACAGTTTGTGTTATTTGATATGGTCAATCCCACAGTGTTTTAGATTTTGGGATTTTGTGCTTGGTTTTCAAAGTTGGTCCAAATTTGGGTCCAAAATTAAACTTTTTTTTGTTCGATTTCTTCAAAAAATTAAATCATTGGTGTTCTTTAATGTGTGCAATCTAACAGTGTTTGATTCTTTTAATTTTGGGCCCGTTTTTCAAACTGGACCCCATAAAGGTCCAAAGTATTTAAAATAAAACTTAGTTTGATTTTAACAAAAAATGAAACAATAAGGTTATTTGATATGCTGAATCCAACCATGTATTTAGAATTTGAATATTGGACCATAATTGATAAATGTCTAATTTTAAAATTATTTAAGAACTTCATTATACCACATTCATTCTGTGTCAGAAACTAGGCTATTATTACATATTTGCTCATAATCTGAATTCAGAGATGTTATTGGACAATTATCAGAAATTTTAAGTTGAAAATAGATAAAACATCACATCTAATTTTAGAGAACAATTTTTTGTGGTTTACATCACTGGTTCATGGAAAATAAATTGGTTCACAGACAATAACTTAAGTATAAGTGTATGGATGTGTAAGGAATTTTAGCACAAGGTTCCATACCACAATAGGAGGGTTGGGATATTAAATAGTTAATCAAGCTCTACATTTAGAGATTTATTGTAAACTAATAGAAATTTTAAATTGAGGCATAGTTTAAAATAGATTTGCTGATTCAGATATATTAATCTGTTAATTGTGGTGATAATTGTGTATACATTGTGTTCTATTTAAAGATTGTTAACATGTTTGAATATTTTCTTATGGTTGAAACTTCCCTTGGAATATATTTCATAACAATACATTGTGTAGATAAAGTTGTTGACATTGATAGATAAGTTGCAGATATTAGTTTGTGACAAATGAAAGAAAAAATATTGGGAACTATATTAATTATATATATAAAGTTTGATTACACTATGTGTTTTTAAATAATTTTCACCTCTTATCAAGATAAGAAAACATCTGGTAATTATCAATCACACAATTATAATTGGAGTGACAGATTTATTTGAAAAGTTTGTGTTTTTCTTAAGTGTTATTGATGATATGCTCTGTAGGACAGTATAAATATAGTTTGAAATTTAATGTCATTATTAAATATTATGAAGATAATTATAGATAAGTTTTATTAGATTTTTTAAAGACATTGAATTAATGATAAATGATATTTTGGAAAAAAAAAATTTTTTTTTGGAAAATTGTTTGAAGAATTTGTTTTAGGTTTGTTTGTTATTCAGTATAAACTAATTTTCTGAATGCTATATATATATATATTTTTTTTTTTGATGAAGCAAACTCCTTTATAAAAACTAAGCTTATATTGTCTATTAATAAACATGTATTTAGATGTTTTTGTTTTGGGTCCAGTTTTCAAGTTTGTCCAAATTGGGGTCCAAAAATAAATTGTGTTTGATTTCAACATAAATTGAATATACATAGGGTTCTTTGAAATGCTGAATCTAAACCTGTATTTAAATTTTGGATTTTTGGACCAGGTTTTCAAAGTTGGTCCAAATCAAGGTCCAAAATTAAGCTATGTTTGATTTCAACAAAAATTGATTTTATGGGGTTCTTTCATATGCTGAACATGCTGAATCTAACCGTGAACTATTTAATATATAAAAATAAGAAGATGTGGTATGATATTTTGATATGAGGATGTTTGTATTTCACACAGATACCACATGTTAAAAATGCAAGGGAGATGGTTGGTTATAGATACAAACTTTTGCAGTTGAAATGAAGGAGGAATTTTCAGACATTTGATTTGCATTGAATTTTCATGATTTCCAAATTAAAAAAATATTTAGAGGTGACTTCTTTGAATAAAAGCATTTGCTTATATTTTGGTGACTATATGCATATACAATTTCTTATCATGCTTACGACAGAGGGAACAAATGTTTGAAGCTGAACAACAAATTTTTACCGTTTCAGGTACCAAAGTATTTGTCAGAGAAGTGGAATCATGCAGACGGTGGTGAAGTTGGAAAGCTAAAAATCACAAGATCAAAGTAAGGCCTTAATTTGAAGGAAAGATGCATTATTCTTCCCTGAATTTTTCTTTTTCTCATACATTGACAACATGTTTTTTTCTTCCTTAACAAATAGTCGCGGGCATTGTGTTTTATCTCTGTCCATTTTCCTTTTGTTAGTAGGTAAGTTAATTAGTCCACTACCAACGAAGTTGAAGGGGACTTAAGCATGTTTAGGTTTGCACTCCGTCCGTCTGTCTGTCCATCTGTCAGTCCGGCAAATCAGTTTCCTCACTTTTTTAGCTCACCTGACCTGAAAGGTCAAGTGAGCTTTTCTCATCACTTTGCGTCCGTCGTCCTGCGTCCGTCGTCCGTCGTCCGTAAACTTTTACAAAAATCTTCTCCTCTGAAACTACTTGGCCAAATTTAACCAAACTTGGCCACAATCATCATTGGGGTATCTAGTTTAAAAAATGTGTCCGGTGACCCGGCCAACCAACCAAGATGGCCGCCATGGCTAAAAATAGAACATAGGGGTAAAATGTAGATTTTGGCTTATATCTCTGAAACCAAAGCATTTAGAGCAAATCTGACATGGAGTAAAATTGTTTATCAGGTCAAGATCTATCTGCCCTGAAATTTTCAGATGAATCGGACAACCCTTTGTTGGGTTGCTGCCCCTGAATTGGTAATTTAATGGAAATTTTGCCGTTTTTGGTTATTATCTTGAATATTATTATAGATAGAGATAAACTGTAAACAGCAATAATGTTCAGCAAAGTAAGATCTACAAATAAGTCAACTTGACCAAATTGGTCAGTTGACCCCTTAAGGAGTTATTGCCCTTTATAGTCAATTTTTAACCATTTTTCATAAATTTTTGGAATCTTTTACAAAAATCTTCTCCTCTGAAACTACTTGGCCAAATCTAACCAAACTTGGCCACAATCATTATTGGGGTATATAGTTTAAAAAATGTGTCAGGTGACCCGGCCAACCAACCAAGATGGCCGCCATGGCTAAAAATAGAACATAGGGGTAAAATGTAGATTTTGGCTTATATCTCTGAAACCAAAGCATTTAGAGCAAATCTGACATGGGGTAAAATTGTTTATCAGGTCAAGATCTATCTGCCCTGAAATTTTCAGATGAATCAGACAACCCTTTGTTGGGTTGCTGCCCCTGAATTGGTAATTTAATGGAAATTTTGCCGTTTTTGGTTATTATCTTGAATATTATTATAGATAGAGATAAACTGTAAACAGCAATAATGTTCAGCAAAGTAAGATCTACAAATAAGTCAACTTGACCAAAATGGTCAGTTGACCCCTTAAGGAGTTATTGCCCTTTATAGTCAATTTTTAACCATTTTTCATAAATTTTTGTAATCTTTTACAAAAATCTTCTCCTCTGAAACTACTTGGCCAAATCTAACCAAACTTGGCCGCAATCATCATTGGGGTATCTAGTTTAAAAAATGTGTCCGATGACCCAGCCAACCAACCAAGATGGCCGCCATGGCTAAAAATAGACCATAGGGGTAAAATGTAGATTTTGGCTTGTATCTCTGAAACCAAAGCATTTAGAGCAAATCTGACATGGGATAAAATTGTTTATCAGGTCAAGATCTATCTGCCCTGAAATTTTCAGATGAATCAGACAACCCTTTGTTGGGTTGCTGCCCCTGAATTGGTTATTTAATGGAAATTTTGCCGTTTTTGGTTATTATCTTGAATATTATTATAGATAGAGATAAACTGTAAACAGCAATAATGTTCAGCAAAGTAAGATCTACAAATAAGTCAACTTGACCAAAATGGTCAGTTGACCCCTTAAGGAGTTATTGCCCTTTATAGTCAATTTTTAACCATTTTTCATAAATTTTTGTAATCTTTTACAAAAATCTTCTCCTCTGAAACTACTTGGCCAAATCTAACCAAACTTGGCCACAATCATCATTAGGGTATCTAGTTTAAAAAATGTGTCCCATGACCCAGCCAACCAACCAAGATGGCCGCCATGGCTAAAAATAGAACATAGGGGTAAAATGCAGTTTTTGGCTCATATCTCTGAAACCAAAGCATTTAGAGCAAATCTGACATGGGATTAAATTGTTTATCTGGTCAAGATCTATCTGCCCTGAAATTTTCAGATGAATCGGACAACGCGTTGTTGGGTTGCTGCCCTTGAATTCGAATTTAAAGGAAATTTTGCCGTTTTTGGTTATTATCTTGAATATTATTATAGATAGAGATAAACTGTAAACAGCAATAATGTTCAGCAAAGTAAGATCTACAAATAAGTCAATTGACCAAAATGGTCAGTTGACCCCTTAAGGAGTTATTGCCTTTTATTGTCAATTTTTAACCATTTTTCGTAAATTTTTGTAATCTTTTACAAAAATCTTCACCTCTGAAACTACTAAAACAAATTTAACCAAACTTGTCCACAATCATCATTACGGTATCTAGTTTAAAAAATGTGTCTGATGACCCCGCCCGCGAACCAAGATGGCTGACATGGCTAAAAAATAGTACATAGGGTAAAATGCAGTTTTTGGCTCATATCTCTGAAACCAAAGTATTTAGAGCAAATCTGACGAGGATAAAATTGTTCATTAGGTCAAGATCTATCTGCCCTGAAATTTTCAGACCAATCAGGCAACACGTTGTTGGGTTGCTGCCCCTGAATTGGTAATTTTAAGAAAATTTTGCAGCTTTTGGTTATTATCTTGAATATTATTATAGATAGAGATAAACTGTAAACAGCAATAATGTACAGCTAAGTAAGATCTACAAATAAGTCAACATGACGAAAATTGTCAATTGACCCCTTAAGGAGTTATTGCCCTTTATATTCAATTTTTTACAATTTTCATAAATTTTGTAAATTTTTGTAAATTTTTACAAAATATTTTCCACTGTAACTACTGGGCCAAGTTCATTATAGATAGAGATAATTGTAAGCAGCAAGAATGTTCAGTAAAGGAAGATCTACAAACACATCACCATCACCAAAACACAATTTTGTCATGAATCCATCTATGTCCTTTGTTTAATATGCACATAGACCAAGGTGAGCGACACAGGCTCTTTAGAGCCTCTAGTTTCTTCATGCTTGAAGATATTGATTTGATATACATGTATGGTGTATTGTTCTATCATGACAAGTTTCAGATCAAGTTCGAATTTTGTTCCGGTCTGATGATTTTGTGCAGAGTTATGGTCCTTTGACTTAGAAAAATCACTAAAAATAATCAGCTTTCCACACTCTTTTTGATATACATGTATGGTGTATTGTTCTATCATGACAAGTTTCAGATCAAGTTCGAATTTTGTTCCGGTCTGATGATTTTGTGCAGAGTTATGGTCCTTTGACTTAGAAAAATCACTAAAAATAATCAGCTTTCCACACTCTTTTTAGCTCACCTGGCCCAAAGGGCCAAGTGAGCTTTTCTCATCACTTGGCGTCCATCGTCGTTGTCGTCCGTCGTCGTTAGCTTTTTACAAAAATCTTCTCCTCTAAAACCACTGGGCCAAATTTAATCAAACTAGGCCACAATCATCATTAAGGTATCTAGTTTAAAAAATGTGTCCGATGACCCCGCCAACCTACCAAGATGGCCGCCATGGCTAAAAATAGAACATAGGGGTAAAATGTAGATTTTGGCTTATATCTCTGAAACCAAAGCATTTAGAGTAAATCTGACGATGAATCGGACAACGCGTTGTTGGGTTGCTGCCCTTGAATTCGAATTTAAAGGAAATTTTGCCGTTTTTAGCTCACCTGACCTGAAAGGTCAAGTGAGCTTTTCTCATCACTTTGCGTCCGTCGTCCGTCGTCCTGCGTCCGTCGTCCTGCGTCCGTCGTCCGTCGTCCGTCGTCCGTAAACTTTTACAAAAATCTTCTCCTCTGAAACTACTGGGCCAAATTTAACCAAACTTGGCCACAATCATCATTGGGGTATCTAGTTTTAAAAATGTGTGGCGTGACCCGGTCAACCAACCAAGATGGCCGCCACGGCTAAAAATAGAACATAGGGGTAAAATGCAGTTTTTAGCTTATAACTCAAAAACCAAAGCATTAAGAGCAAATCTGACATGGGATAAAATTGTTCATCAGGTCAAGATCTATCTGCCCTGAAATTTTCAGATGAATCGGACAACCCGTTATTGGGTTGCTGCCCCTGAATTGGTAATTTTAAGGAAATTTTGCTGTTTTTGGTTATTATCTTGAATATTATTATAGATAGAGATAAACTGTAAACAGCAATAATGTTCAGCAAAGTAAGATTTACAAATAAGTCAATATAACCGAAATGGTCAGTTGACCCCTTTAGGAGTAATTGCCCTTTATAGTCAATTTTTTACCATTTTTCGTAAATCTTAGTAATCTTTTGCAAAAATCTTCTCCTCTGAAACAACTGGGCCAAATTAAACCAAACTTGGCCACAATCATCATTGGGGTATCTAGTTTAAAAAATGTGTGGCGTGACCCGGCCAACCAACCAAGATGGCCGCCACAGCTAAAAATAAAACATAGGGGTAAAATGCAGTTTTTGGCTTATAACTCAAAAACCAAAGCATTTAGAGCAAATCTGACATGAAGTAAAATTGTTTATCAGGTCAAGATCTATCTGCCCTGAAATTTTCAGATGAATCGGACAACCCGTTATTGGGTTGCTGCCCCTGAAATGGTAATTTTAAGGAAATTTTGCAGTTTTTGGTTATTATCTTGAATATTATTATAGATAGAGATAAACTGTAAACAGCAATAATGTTCAGCAAAGTAAGATTTACAAATAAGTCAATATAACCGAAATGGTCAGTTGACCCCTTTAGGAGTAATTGCCCTTTATAGTCAATTTTTAACCATTTTTCGTAAATCTTAGTAATCTTTTACAAAAATCTTCTCCTCTGAAACAACTGGGCCAAATTAAACCAAACTTGGCCACAATCATCATTTGGTTATCTAGTTTTGAAAATGTGTGGCGTGACCTGGTCAACCAACCAAGATGGCCGCCACGGCTAAAAATAGAA